GGTGGCAAGGGTTAAGCTACTAAATATTTATTAAGCTTTCATTTTTTCAGCTTGAGAAATACTGAGCATGTCCTTCGCTTTTGGATTTCTGACTCTAGCTCTTTTGCACATCTTGTTATAGTATTTGTCTTCTAAAGCTGCCTTTGAAATCTTTTGTTAGCTCTCTTATTTAATAGTGGGGCTCCCCCCCCCATTTTCTTTAGCTTCTTTATGTTCAGGAAAAAATTTCAGAGTCTCTTCTGGCATCTGTTTTGGTCTTTTCTTTCTTTCCTGTCTTTTTGATGATCTTGTGCTTCCTTCCTGCATGAGATCCTTGATGTCATCCCATAATTTGGTCACTAGTGTTGAATGTATCAAATCTACTCTTGAAATAATTTCTAAGTTAATGTGAAATATCCTCAAGGTTGTATTTTGGCTCTCATGAACTTATTTTCATTTTCATCAACTTTAATTTCAACTTAGATGGGAGTGGTTAATGGTTTGTTCCACAGTGAAGCCCTGGCCTTGTTCTGACCGATGAAAATTCAACTTTTTCAATATTTCTTTCCACATAAGTCATTAATTTGATTACTGTGAATTCCCTCAGGTGAGGTCCATGTGTATATTGTAATTTTTGTTTTTCAAAGATGACATTTGCCTTGACTATGTTGTTGGTAGCACAGAATTCTGTATCCTGTGATCGCCCACCTTATTTCTGTCTCCAAAGCCATGTTGTCAAATTAGTAATTTTCCTTCTTTTGTTCCAACACTTTTTGTATTCAAATAACAAGTTATTATTCATTCATCTTTATTGTATATTGGATCAATTTTAGATTCAGAAGTTGATGGAAATCCTTGGTTTCTTAAACTTTGGGCTTAGTGGTTTGTTCATAAACTTTGCTAATAATCATATTCAATGACACAGGAAGCATGGGAGAAGATGGAAGTGATACACAGAGTTACTTTGTTAAAAAGAATTGGTTGACAGTGAACCATTTCAAGAAGTAGCATGTGAAGAAACTATAACCACCACACAAGCAGATATATGCATACTCATGTTTATCGTGGCTTTGTTAACAATAGCCAAGAGTTGGAAACAACCTAAGTGCCCATCAACAAACAAATGGATAGAGAAGCTGTGGTATATTCACACGATGGAATACTACACTGCATTAAAAAACAAGGAACTCATGAAGTATTATACAAAATGGGTGACCCGGGAGGACATTATGCTGAGTGAAATATTTTAGTCACAAAAGGACAAATACTGTAGAGTGCCACTGTTGTAAAAGAGGACTGACATTAGGGTTGGGGGGAGACTGAGAAAGATAGGATAAATTATGTAACTGCATTGAAACAGATGAGGGAGAGAACAGTTTAAAAGGGATATATGATTAGGCATTATTGTCATGATGGGAGTCCAGAATGAAGGCTGCACAGTGGAGTGGACTTGAGGGGAGGGATTGTATAACAATGAAAGAATTTTTCTTTTGCTTTTCAAAGTAAAGAGTGAACTGGGGAAGAGGGGTGGGCAAGGAGAAAAGTGCAACAATGAATGAATGGAAATCCAAAGTCTCTGTAAACTTTCATTAAAATTAATAAAAAAAAAGAAGTAGCATATGGTCAAGAACCAATGGTACAGAAGGAAGAAGCAAGTCTAAGATGTACTGAAAGTATTGGCAAAAAACAAGTTTGGAGAAACTGACTGAATACCGATTGAGGCATTTCAACAAATAAATGCTGCCCTGGATGTGTTCACTTATCTATGCCAAGAAATTTGGAGGACAACTACCTTGTCAACCGACTGGGAAAGTTCCCTATTTGTTGCCATTCCATAAAAGACGATTGAGCAGAATGAGAAAATGATCAAACGATAGCATTAATATTGCACAAGAGTATAATCTGCTGAAGATTATGAAACAATTGCTGAAGCAATGCATCAACAAGAAATGGCTAGAAATTCAAATGGGATCAGAAGAAAAGAAGATGGTCAGCGTGGAGGAGAAAGACCGTCAAGGAAGTGGATTGACACAGTCATGGAACGAGCGCAATGATGGGCTTCAGCATAGCAGAGATTGTGAAGTTGGAGCACGACAGGGCAGCATTCGCTTTGTTTTGCATACAATCACCTTGAGTTGGAATCAATTCAAAGGCACCCAACAATGACAACAACAACAACAGATCTTTCCCAAAGCTAGTCTCCAGACATTTTCCTTTGACTCCACTGGACAGGTTTCAACCACTGTCATTTCACTCGCAGCGATTATTTGTGTCACAATTTGTGACCTGTCCTGTTGCATCCTCCAGGAAATGCTGGTAGAGAGCAAGTGGCGTGGACAAGCTGAGCGTCTGCAAGTGTGTGGACAAGCTGAGCGTCTGCAAGCGCGTGGACATGGGCAAGCTGAGCACCTGCAAGTGCGTGGACAAGCTGAGCACCTGCGGTGATGGCTAGAGTTCTTCACCGGCTATTTCTGAGTTAGGACACGTGGAATTACAATTTTGTGTTGTGTTTTAAACAAAGCCTAGCTTTTCTGAAGAGCAAATGAAATTGAATATAACTGAGTTACCTCCAAGATGCTCTGGATGTACTGTGGTTAAGGCATTTAGCTGTTATCTAAAGGTTCATGGTTCAAGCCCAGTAGCTGATCCACAGGAGAAAGGTGGGGTTGTCTGCTTCATTGGCCAAGACTGCAGCCTTGACAAGACCATGGGGCAGCGCTGCTCTGTCCTACAGGGGTGCTCACAGTGGACCGCGGGGCAGTGGCTTTTGTTTTGATTGATTTTGACAAACTCTGTTACTCATTGTCATCGAGTTAGCTCTTGACTTATAGTAACCGCCCCCTCGGGTGTCTGTGGCCTTAGCCACAGTGTCGCCTGAGAATAAATCATCAGTGAGAAAATGCACAACACAGAGCCATCTTCAGTGTTATCGTCACACTTACTTGGCAAGAACATGTCATTTATAGGAGGCTCTGCACGTCAGAAGTAGCAATGGCAATTCAACGCAATGACCTACACAACTACAGGTCACATGAAATGATAAAAAACTATTGGGAACAGCACATCCATGAGCAAGAAACGACAACAAGCAAGTCAAATCCTTTTGAGAAGTTTTATGAAGTCAGATACTTGTCATATGTGTCTGATTTGTTCTTTTTATAATTAACCGGTAGCCTCATGATAAAATGTGATACATCATCAATGCTGAATTAGCTAAGAGCTTGTTGAGGGCCAGTATTAATCAAAAATATGAAGCCAAATGCCTTGCCTTTGAGTTGATACCAACTAATTTCAACCCCCCATCAGGGAAATCTTTTTGGTAACAGACTGTCCAATCTTTGCCTGTGGGATTCGAACTGCTGGCCTTTTGGCCATTCCACTATCAGATCTCCTTAAATACAGACAGAAGCCTCAAATTACAAGTTGAAACAATTATTTCTTAAAAAAACTTAGATGTACTTTTTTTTTTATCTTAACAGCCAAATAAGCAACTTGTTTGTTACTTTCACTAAAACAACTTAAGTCTTACCCTTGAGCAAAGATATTCCTTTGTGTTTGCTGGTGGCCCAAATATTACTGCAGACCGAACTTGGATGGGAAGGAAAGTAGTGACCCTGAGCCCAGAGAATGACCCTTTCTCACTGTAGCTTCTTCCCAGGTGAGCTGTGACTCCAGTGAAAGTCAGGGGTAAAGGCAGGAGACCGGATCCTTCACCTCTGACGCCTGGTTTCATCTGGGCTGGTGAAGGGCACTGGAGCGGGACTCACCCTTTTGGGCACTGCTGGGTTGGATGGATGTCTCTTAATGTGTGCACTAACTCTTTTCCAGTGGACCCTCTACCACCTCCTTACCAGGCCTTCCTGTAAGGAAAACACCAAGCTGGGGTCCCTGTAGCCCCCGAGATGGCCCACCAGGTGTTCCTTTTTCTGACAGGCCATGGAGGAGCTGGTGGACGAGGGGCTGGTGAAAGCTATCGGTATCGCCAACTTCAACCACTTCCAGATCGAGAGGCTCTTGAACAAGCCTGGCTTGAAACACAAGCCAGTGGCTATCCAGGTAAATGCTGCTTCAGGAGCAGTTGGGGTAAGCTCAGTGCTCTATCCTGAGCCTCCTCTCAGGGCTCAGGGATGAGAATGCACTGCGGAGGGGTGGGGTGGCCCCTGAGGCCTTTGCTCCGTGCTTGGCCGACTTTTCCGTGTAGGACTCCGTAGGAGCTGCTCCAGATACAGGCTGGCTTCCTGGTGGTGAGGCTGTTGGTTTTTGCAGATCGAGTGTCACCCATACCTGACGCAGGAGAAGCTGATCCAGTACTGTCAGGACAGAGGCATTGTGGTCACTGCCTTCTGCCCCCTGGGCTCTGCAGACAGGCCTTGGTGAGGCTCCCTGGGCTTTCCCTCTTGACCCTGTGTAGATAGTGAGTGATCATTTGGGAGTGTTAATCTGAGATACAATTCACTGGCTAGGATAATATATAGAAGATAATGTGTGTGTTGTACTTCAATGAGATTGCAGTGGGAAAAATCAGAGCGGGAGCAAATTAGAGCATGCATGCTCCTCTGAGGATACACGGGTTCAGTCACTCAGAGATGGTCCAGCCTTTACAGAAAGTGAGAGTCAGAGCCCACAGTGGGCCAAGGTGAAGATCAAGTCTGCAGGTGCGCCTATCCATCTTCCAAATGGCACTCCTGGGACCGTCATGGGGGGTGGGGGGAATGCTCATCTGGACAGAGTAACCACAGGGATTATTGGAAGAAACTGGAAGACGCAGCCTTGGGGCCATCATCACAGGAAGGACGTTCATCCTTGAGGACAACCATGGTGACCGTTCACTCATGGCCACCATCTTTCTCTCTCCAGGGCCAAACCAGAGGACCCTTCACTGCTGGAGGACCCAAAGATTAAGCAGATTGCAGCAAACCACAACAAAACTGCAGCCCAGGTGCGCGGTTAACCACATCCCCCAGCAATCCAGGGGTTCCAACGTCCTTCTCTGTGTTGTCTTCACGTCACTCCTTGAAAGGAAGAACAGGGCACACAACACCTGGCCAGGCCCTTCCTCAAAGTCCTCTGGGGCCTTGCAGGGACACACTGTCATCAGTGGACAGAGATGGCCTGTGCCCAGCAGCTTCCCGTGAGCCTGACCACCTGGCTTTGACAGTGGCTTTGGTGGCAATGACCTGGGTTCAGATTCAGCGCTACCACAAGCCACCTTGGGGTTGACACCTGGGAACCCACCCCTGGGCCCCAGCCATTGTTCTGGTCCTTTGTGAGAGAATCATAGAAGCGGCCTTCCTGGGCTGCTGAGGGGATTCTGGGGAACTGTCTGAGGAGGGCCTGACAGGGACAAGCTCAGTCCCCAGCCGCCGTTCTCACAAAGGCAGGTCCCGGTGGTGAGTGGAGTGTGATGTCCTTTGTCCACAGGTCCTGATCCGCTTCCATCTTCAGAGGAATGTGACCGCAATTCCCAAGGCTGTGACCCCAGAGCATATTGCTGAGAACATCCAGGTGAGAGCCCACCGGTTGACTCTGGTTTTCCTCAGAGGAGAGAGGGAGAGAACCCCTCTGCCAGGTTCCCCGCCAACCCCCAAGCATTGTCTATGGGCTCCACCCCCAGCCCACCACCCTGTCACTTCCAAGGCCAAGGCTCATCTCAGTGAGGGTCGAGGAGGCTGAGGCATGGACCAACTGCACGCTGGAGCCACCTGTCTCACCTGGCAGGTGTGAGCACAGCTGTGCCCTAGGGAGACACTGCAGTTGGTCCTGCGGGAGATATTTCCCACAGCAGGACGGACAGTCTGGTTCCTCCATCTGCCCCATCCAAGGCGGCCTGGGTCACGCTGGAGGACCGGCTCCCTGTGGAGGCCCACACACCCATCGGAGACACATCTGCAGTGGGGGGCCCCAGGCTGATGGTGACTGTGGCCTTGACATAGACCTTACAGCACACGCTATCCTGCCTCTACCCAGATGACCCTATGCCTTTCCTTTGTCAGTTTGTCATTATGGTGAATCACACTAAGTCATTTGTGTTTGGTGAACTACCCACCCATACCTGGGAGAAATCCAACTTGGCCGTGGCGTGTAAATATTTTTCCTTTTCTTTTCCTTCCTTCCTTTCTTCCTTCCTTCCTTCCTCCCTCCCTCCCTCCTTCCCCTCCTCCTCCTCCTTCTTCTCCTTCTTCTCTCTCTCTCTCTCTTTCTATTAATTTTAATGACCATTGACAGAGATTTTGGATTTCCATTCATTCATTGTTACCTTTTTCTACTTACCCACCTCTACACACACACACACACACACACACACACACACACACACACGTTCCCCCCGCCCTCCAGTTCGCTCTTCTCTTTGAAAAGTAAAAGAAAAGTTCTTTCAGTGGAATACAATCCCCCCCTCCCCCACCACCCGAGTACACTCCACTATGCAACCTTCATTCTGGACTCTTGTCTTAACCATAATACCCAATCATACATCACTTTTAAACATTGTTGGATTCAGTTTTGAAAGTGGAATTGGTGTGCAGAGGGCACAAGGGGCTCTCCTGTGACCAGCTGATGCTGCTTTGTGAGTTCTTTCCTGGCCATACGAGACCCCAGCACTTCGCTCACTCTCGCCCCTTTCCAGGTCTTCGACTTCCAGCTGAGTGATGAAGAGATGACGACCCTGTTCAGCTTCAACAGGAATTGGAGGATCTTAAACATCGTGGAGTAAGTGTACCTGGTCTCCGTAGCCAAGAGGTGTGACGGGTCAGTCTTTTCCTAGACTGGCAGAGGTCAACCGGAAGGCTTGAATGGCCGTGAGGACGGCTTTGGTCTTCAAGTATTATATTCTGACAGTTTTGGAAATGGAGATGGAAATACCAGGGTGAGAGTCATTATGAGGAAAGATATGCCCCTAACTGTGGCTCAATATACCTGGACTTTGGGATTCAGGGCCAGGTTTAAGGAGAGGCCGTGTCAGAAGATCGAGCCAGAGCTATTCCCTCATTCACCTCCTCACTGAAAGTGCTGAGCACAGAGGAGTCAGAGATGCTGCTGAGATTGTCTTGCTTGTTCCTGCCTCAGCAGCACAAGAATGGAATTGCTACGTAGGGAAAGCACTCAGGAAGCTGTCCTGGGACAGATGGATGAGGTCTACTAGGTGCTAAAGTGGGGATGTCAAATAGCCAGTTGGTATTTTTCTGGTAGGCAGGTCTGGGCTGCAGACACACATTTAGGAGCTAACACATATGGGTGGTGTTCAAAGCCCCAGGCTCGGTAATCAGGTCACCAAAGGGAGTTAATTTCCAAAAATGAGAAAAATGTCTTCCTAGAATTTCCTTCCTTTGTTAGTTGCAGGGTTCAATCTGCTTCTATAAAGATTGCTGCTCTGTGCTGTTTCATAGCTGACTTTCCAACAGGTTTTTGAGGGAGTAAATTGCATAGGAAGAGACTGCCCATCCTTCTCCTGCAGAGCATCTGCTGGGTTTGAACTGTAAGCCTTTGTGATTGCAGCACAGCTTCTTACCACTAGGCCACCAGAGCTCCCAAATCTCCTTAAAGATTGCAGCTAAGAAAAATCTCAGGAAGCAGTTCTGTTCAGCAACACAAGAGGTCGCCGTGAGTCAGCATAAGCTCCATGGCGTTGGGCTTAGTTTTTGTCTTTGGTCCCTTTTTGGTGCAGTAACTTTACCTTAAATTATCGCTGTGACTTAGTGACTCATTTCTGACTCTCCAGTGTGTTTTTAGTGACTGTAGATCATGTTAGCTGTTGTTGTTATGTGCGGTCGAGTTGCCAGCGACTCATAGCAACCCTATGTACAACAGCCCTAAACTCTGCTCTGTCCTGTGCCAATCTCACTGTCTCTGACACACCCATCCTGATTACCCCAGTCACTCACTCAATCCATCCTATCGAGGGTCTCCCTCTCCTGTGCCGTCCCTCCACCCTCCCAAGCATGACGTCCTCCAAGGACTGGTCCCTCCTTGCAACATGTCCAAAGTATGCCAGACGAAGCTTCAGAATCCTTGCCTCCGAGGAGCAGCCTGGTTTATACCTCTCCAGGATGACCTGTACATTTTCTTAGCAGTCCATGGTAAGAGGAGATTGTTTTTTCTCCTGATAAGCCACTGGTGGATTTGAACAGCTGAAGAAGGTGGTTTGGTTTAGTAGCTCAATTCCCTGTGGACAGGGCCACCAGAACTCCCTGGAAAACTTTTTTTAATGGAAATTTTATATTGGTTTACTTACAAAGTTTGTATAGCATTGTGGTTCACACTATTCTTCATTCACATTGGGTTTCTTACACTCATTCCCATGCATTATATTTTCTAAAATCAATCACCATTGGACCTTGCCTATCATTACTAAATCTTTTCAGGTCTATGCAGGATCCTTCCCATTTCCTTCACCTCCTCCCTCCACCCACCAAACTGTGAAACCTTGTGATTTCACCCCTACCCATCCTCACCCCTTCTCTCCCACACCTGCCACAACTAAAAGGATTGAGAAATCAGAAGGGAAAACTTTAAAAAGATTCAAATTATATAAATCTACAAGCATCAGGGTAAGTCTTCACTTTAGCTAGGTGATTATTGTAAAGAACACTCATCAGTGTTTCTTAGTGCTTTAAATGCGCAGAGAAACCTTTCTAAAAGAACTATAGGAATGACGCATAAAATTATAGTCTTCATTGGCAGTATTTTTCAGTTTCTCTGGATGCATCTAGTTTCAAATGATTAAAGTTTATAGAAGGTGACTTACGGCAGTTGTGACTGCTGGGTCCCTGGTGACAGCTTGCATCTAAAGCCCAGCATGATGTTGCAATTGTGTAGAGGTACTTTGGTGTCTCCAGCGTTACCTGCATGACATGAGATCCCAAGTTCATCCTACCCACCCCTTATTGCTGTGATGACTTGGATGGGAGGCCCGCAAAGTAACAGCCATCCAAGAAAATGAGGAATGATGATTATAATGTGGGACCCCCACCCCCCAAACTACCCTGCTTCTCCTCCTGTGAACGCCAGTTCCAATGGAGGTGGCCGAGATGGAACACAAGAGTCCACTGTCATGCCCTGTCACCCTGACATGTGACTTCCGTTCACAGTGACCCAGCAGGGCCGAGTAGCCAGCACCCCATGGGTTTCCAAAGTTTTAGCCTTCACAGAAGCTGCCTGCAGTGGCTTTCTCTTAAGGGGTGGCTAGTGGCCTCGAACTGCTACCTTTCGGTTAGTGCCTGAGTACTTAACCACTGTGCCACCAGGAATACTTGGCTTCAGATCCAAGCTCTGGGACCTTGGGTGAATTCCCTCTGTTTCTCCAGTTGCTTTCTTCATTTACAAAACAGGCATGATGAATCTTAGGACATCTAATGATGGCTAATAGAGATACTAAGTGTAACCAGAGTGCTCCTTGGAGGCAAAGACGATAAAGCTTTGCCTGACATACTTCAGACGTGTTTTTAGGAGAGGCTGTTCCTTTGAGAGGCATATCATGCTTGGGAAGGTGCAGGGTCAGCAAAAGAGAATATGACCCTCAACCAGATAGATTGACAGTGACAGCTGCAATGGGCTTGAGTGTCTCAGAGACAGTGTGTGAGGATGGTGCAGCATAGAACAGTGTTCAGATCTGTTCACAGATGGGTTGTGCTTGACTCTACGACAGTTAACAACAACAACATATATGCTAAGTATTAGCTTAGAGTGTGCCGGCGTTCTAGTCTCTCCATGCATCATTATCTCACTGAGTCCATCAGTTCCCAAATGCCCCGTGCTTGGCTATTCTCTATGTTTTAGTGCTAGGGAAGGAAGGGAGGCCGCACTTGGAAGGCCCCAAGGTTCAGCCATGAAACTGGCTGCTGTGAAGTCATTTCTGAGTCATGGTGCCCCCGCCTGCTGGAGGACTGTGCTGCCTCGGGTTTTGCATGTTGGACTTTCTGGAATTAGATCACCAAGCTTTTCTTCCAAGGAGCCAGCTTCCTCCAGCCACCTCATCCGTGCTAGCCTGCCCTCCTCACCAGCACATCCTCAGGCCACTTGGAGGGAGGTGGAGATGTGGGCCTCCATCTCGTGTTCTCCCAGGGTCCTGATGGGAGGCTGAGCCAGCGTGAGGCCATCCCTGGAGAGGATGCATGGTTCCACAGCAGCTCTTCACTGTCCTCCTCTCCTTCTCTCTGCAGGGGCGCCTGTTTGGAGGACTTCCCTTTCACAGCAGAATATTGACAGCGGAGCTTGAGGCTCCAGGTGAGAGCATCCAGGAGATTCTCTTGCCTCGCTTTCCCGACGTGCAATGAACGCCCTCCTCCAAGCTCGACTTTATTGTTGTTAGTTGCTGCTGAGTCAGCTCGGCTGTGGGACCCACGAGTGCAGAGGAGAGCTGTCCCAAGGGGCTCTCAAGGCTGTGTGACCTTTGGGGAGCAGATTGCTTAGGTCTAAAGCGCTCCTTGGTGGGTTTGACTTGTCACCCTTTGGCTCATAGTTGACCACATACTTTCTGTGCCACTCTGGGAACCCCCATTTCGCTGGGCTTCCCAACCCTGTGGATCACGGGGGGCTCATCCCAAACCCACCAAGAGCACGACCAGGGCTGGGCAGCATTCCGTTTTGCTGGGTTTGCTGTGACTGTGGACCCAGAGTGAATCTTTTCTCTGTTTATTGGTTACTCGTCCTTCAGTTGTGATTTTTAAAAAAAATATGTAATCCATACTCTGATTTTAATAAGTGCTCCAATCCTCTTCATTTTCAGAAAGCAAGACGTGCCATCTCTGTACCTCGGGTTGTGCGTTTCCCTCTAATTCTTGAGCTGCATTCCTCCAGCTGCTTAGATTATTTGCTTAGCACGCAGGTTGAATAAATATGTTGAAAAAAAATATAACATGTTTCCTGATTTCAAATGATGTAATATTCTCTGGGAATATTCTTTTTTTAATGATTAAAAAGGACATTTTCTTTCCCTCCCAAATTAAGTGAACATGAAAATCTCAGAGTTTATTGTCTTGATACAAATAAGCTGAAGCTTAGAACTGGATCACTTGACCCTTTCGCTTTCTATCTCCTCCCAGTTCAAAGTGCTTGTGTCTTTTGATAGCCAGCATTCTTTAAGATCGACAGTTTGGCTCAACACATTTGAGTCTTAACACAATCTTTGTAGTTTTCACCTTTTTCTGAAAAATTGGTTTGGTCTTCCTACCATAGCCACTATGCCTCCTGTCATAACACCACTTTCCCTGGGCATATAGTCTTTGCCCTTCTTGTACTATGCCACTTTGTGGAGCTGGTGCTTGCCACACTTTTTGCAAAAAGTCTGGTGAGTTTTGGGACCGTTGACAATGTTTGCAGGAGCCCTATGCTTGAAAGGAGCTCTTGGAATATTCTTAGGGGAAATGAAGTCCTGATATGTAATACAACATGAAGCTTGACATCATTGCACTTCACAAGCCAATCACAAAAGAACAGATGACCCTGCTTGCATGGAAGAGGCAAATAAACATATGTTGATCAAACTAGTAAGTGGTTACCGGGGTAGAAAGGAGAATCACTGCTTACAGGGCGCTAAATTTCTATGGGTCATGATGAAATCGTTCGGAAACGTAGAGAGTTGATGGCTGCACAACATTATGTGTTGAATCAAAGCCATTGAATGATACATGCTAAAACTGTTGAATTTGCAGAAGTTTTGGTATATGCCTTTTTACTACACCCAGCAGACTTGAGAATAGTTGCAGTAAGCTAACCATCTCATTTAACAAGCGCTGTTTGTGTTGGGAAATATTTTTATTTATATTCTATTTGATGAAAATGCAGTAATCATCAGTGTCTTGAGAGAGTGGTATGTGTTCTGAAATGAACGCTCACACTCATTATTGACGGGTCTGAAGTGACTCATTGCTGTTCCTCGGTTGGTTTTCTGAGGCTGTGAATTTCAGGAGAGGAGATTACCCATCTTTCTAGAAAAGAACAGCTGGTGGATTTTAGCCACCAAGACGCAAGGCCTTTGGTGAGCAGGGCACCCTATGGACAACACATGTGGGGAACAGTGCTGTCTATTCCAGGTGTGAGAGGGATGGTGCAAAAAACATCGGGAATGGCAGAGTGGATGAAGGGGTATTAGATTTTTTTAAAAAAACATTTCTTTCCAGCCTGCCTTGTATTTTTGTGGGATCAGCTGTCTGAACCAGAGTCATTGTCAGTGACAAATTTGTTCGACAAATTACATGTAATAAGAACTATTTCCCAAGTATGAAAGATGCCTTTCTTTAGAGTGAAAACAAAGTCCAGTCTGAAAGCCTGGTGCTCCCAAGTCACCATCTTTATTAACATGGGACCCACCTGCCAATGTCAACACCAGACCTGAAAATGAGTGAGGCGAGGATAAAACCTGCAAATGAGCGAGGCAGGGACGTGGAGGAATTCCTTTTATTGTGGATGCATTCTCACAATATATTTGCATTGCGGCGAAAAGTTGTCAGTGAAAAATCTTTTGTGTCTATAAAACTTTTACGAATGGCAGATTCACAGAACATGCTAGTCGGTCTGCAGTTTTACCTCTTAAAGAGAACAAAGAGAATCGTAATGGAAACAAGGACGCCAGGAAGTTCTTTTCCAAAAGATGAAATCCAAACTGAGTAACTGTCTATTCTAAAATGTACTCCATCCACGTATTGGAATGAAAAGTCAAGATCAACACAGTCTCTTCTCAACTTCAGTTTCTAGAAAAATAGATAATGGTGCGTAGGAGGAACCCTATTCAAAAGGACAGCAGAGCTCGGTCGCCTCCTGGAAGCCTCGACTCAGTCTTAGATCCATTTCATCCTAATGAGAGAGCTTAGTGCTGAGCTGGTCCTCAAGCAGAATCCTCACTTATCTTATCTTAGACTCTTGTCTACTTTCTCTGCAGTGGGAGTGACTGTATAATCTTAGTGGCTTCTGTCCCTTGACCAAAGGATCTGACTTATGAGGAAAATACATTTTGGAAGACAGTGGTCACTCAAGTCAACCGTGCGCTGGCCAGGTCCTCCAGGGGGGTCCTGTGAGTTAAAGATGACTCATCAGGGTTCCCTCAGAGGTGCGGGAGAGACTAAGACGATTTGGGGGAACTTGGCCAAGACGTGAGCTTCTATAACCACCCATGTAGGTATGTGTATACTAACTAGGACATTCTGCCAACACGCTGGAGTCCATTTCTCATCCAGGTGAAGAATGACCACTTGCAAGCTAGAACAAGCATCTAGTATCTGAGTGGTTTGTGTGAGATTGACCAGTCAATGAAGACTCTTTAGAGCAAAACTAGTCAAAGTTACATGTTCTTTTGAAATTTTGGCACTTGGTCCACATACGCCAAATGACCGGTAAAGGCAGGAGAGTTGGACTGAAAAAAAACCCTTCCAAGGACGCTAGTGATGGCGATGCTGACATGTTTGGTGTGACAAGACCCCCACAAACCTGTGTGTGTATTCTTCTGACTCAAATCCTTGTCCTTACATTGTTGAGAAGGAAGAGACCTTAGATCCCATGCAATTCCAGCCCACGGGGACTGTTCTTGTTATGAACTAGAAGACTTTGAGTTTGACTTGGCTAGTAGATGTAATGGGATTCCCGTGGGCCTTCAAGATTGTCTTAATTTAGAAACAAAATACTATGTTTTACAGAAAATGTCAACTTGCCTTGATACTGCTAATGTCTTGCTTTTCAATATGTTTTCCTTAGAGGTCACCAGGCACAGGAAATATTATTGATAGTTAGTCTGCCATATTTCTATTGGCAAAGATGAAATATTACTCTAACGTTGTGATTTTTAATTTTTAAAAAGCTGTGAGATTGGCTAGTTATAAGGACATACTACTAAATATAAGTCTAGCACATAAAAAGCATCCTACCTTTAGTGTGTTTGTATATATTTATGCACATACATACATAATCAGGTAATCTAAAATGTGGTTCAGCATACTATTACTACCAAAGAAATCCACAAAGCGACCAACCTATAGGAATCAGTACCACTGTCAGCTAACAGAATGATCCAATTCAGATACCAATCGGCATGAAAAAGTAATACCTTAACAGAACATATTTTTTTAAAGGCAATCATTATTGCAGTATCTCAAGTCTGAAATGAGTTACTTTCAGAAAGTGTTACAATTGCCTACTAAGAGAATTTCTTCCATGCTTTCTTCTAAAGTGCAGAAACAACATGACTTCCGTGTTGAAAAACAACGTACGGCTCCTCTGCCCCCCGTGACTCCTGCGCACACCCCTCTGGCAATCTGCAGCTTGCATCTTCGTCTGCTGACTTCCAAGCTGGTTGGTGTCACTCTTGGGACACAGCGTTCGGATGATCAGTAGAAAAGTCTCGATTTCACAGCATGGTTTTCTTTAGAAACAGGCTCCTGTGCAAAGGCAGTATTTTTACCACGAACATCTCTAGACTGTGATTATTAAATATAGTGATAATATACATGGGCTTACTGGGATAATGGAAAGAGCTGACAAAAGAGAATGAACCCAACTGAGTAAATCAACATAAATACAAAACAGAGTCGATTAGCCCCCCTCAGCCACACTGGCCCAGCATCTTGAGTGCCAATTCGGGTTCCATCTGGAACGGCCTCAAACCTGTACAGAGAAGAGAACTTTGTTTGAATCAGTAGGCTCCAGAATTTCCTCAAAAGTTTTGTTAATAGAAGAGAAGAAAAAAGCATTAGAAAATAGCAGGAATAGATATTTATGTAAGTCAAGGTCAAAATCATTGCTGTGGAGTCAGAACCAACTCCCAGGCGACCTTCTGATGGGTTTTGGAGGTTGTATGTGACACTGGAAGTGACTATCCATCTTTCTCCTATGGAGGAGCTGGTGGATTCGAACTCCCAGAGAGGGCGCCACCTCTGGGCTTGCAGTGCACCTCTCTATACCCTCTGGGTTACCAGAGGCCCTTGTTTATGTAGGGAGGGTTATTGTTGGGATTCTGTTCCAACTGTGTTCCTCTTCTCTTATACTCTCCTTTCTTTGGATACTTTTCACCCATCCTTCCTTTTTACCTCCTTTTTGCTCCTTTCCTATCTTTTTTTTTATTTTTTTCTATATTTTATTAATTTTCATAAACATTTACAGAGATTATGGGTTTCCATTCATTCATTGTTGCACTTGCTCCTTTCCTATCTTAACCTTCAGCCCTGCCAGTGGCATCCAGAGTCGAGCTGTATGTGTGGGGGCTTTTAAACTCTGCTGTAAGGGCCAGGGATCTCTGGTGTGTCCAAACAGTGACATCACCTACATTAGAAGTCAACAGGTGTCTTCTAGAACAGGCACAAATGCTGGGCTGGCTTAGCCAGAGTCAACCCAAGGCATGCTGGGAGATGGGGATATGACTCTTCCCCCCTTTTTTCCCTCCCCACTCTCCCATTGCTAAGTAGCAGTCTCTCTTTCCTCCCAACTTTATTCAAAGTCCTAGTCCTGACTTGTCTCTGCCCCTGGTCTTACCCTTTTGTTCCTTTTTTTCCTCTCTCAACTGTTAAGTATTTTTGCCCAGATATTAACAAATATTAAAATATCATGGAATCTCTGGGAGGTGCAGTGAACATGAGTATGCTTGGTTTTAAAAAAAAAGGTGGGTGTTAGACCATCCCATGGGCTTCTAAAAGAACAAATACATCTGATTTGGAAGAACAACCATGAGAATTCTCCTTAGACATGAGGGTGGGTAGACTTCATCTCACTTACTTGGGCCACATTATTGGGAAGCGCTAGTCCCTAGAGAAGGACATCATGCTTGGTTAATAGAAAACCAGTAAAAAAAAAATGAAGACCCTCAATGAGACGACCCAGTAGCTCTAACAACAGGTTAAACCACAGCATCAATCGTGCGGACGGCGCAGGATGGGTAGTGCTTCATTCTGCTGCCCATGGCGTCGCTATGCACTGGAAGGGATTAGACGGGACCCAGCTCCACCGTAGGAGGGGACCACACACTGCCTGATCTGGGTGAGAGTGTAGTTGGAGCTACAGTAGTGGGTCCCTTCTGGAGTCCAGGCCTCACTTACGTACACCTCCTTTCTGGAGGGTGGCTACACTTTTTGGGCAGAAGTTAAATATAAGAGACAAATCCACGCCTTGCTAGTCATTAATCTTCCAGGTTAGCAAGTTCCAAATGACTGAATATTTACTTAATCTTTTATCACAGCGTCCTTACGTCCTAAGCTGTTGGTAATGGAATCTAGAAGTTTCAGGAAGCAGCTTTGGAACTACTTCTGGAGACAGAGTGTAGCTCCCAGCTTTGACCCTTTAAAAACACGTAGACATGGCTGTGTCATGTGGGCACCTCTGTCCCATGTCTACCACTGGCCCTTGTAAATAGGACTATCTTGAGAAGACAGATGTGATAGACATGGACACTACTGTCCATATAGACTCAACTGTCCAAGTAGACACCTCTGATGCATGTGACACCATCTCATGTGGACATGATTGTCTCACAGAATTCCTTCCTCCCACACTCCCTCATGATGCTTCCAGGCTCTTCCATGGGTCCATTTATGGACTGGAGGTTACCTGTGTCTGTTGGCTAAGGGATCAGCAATGCTGAACAGCTCCCTGAACTTAGCCTTTACTGTCCTGCCCACAAGTCTTCTAGGCTCTGATGGCTACACAGGTCATATCTGGGTGTGCACCAGTGATATTTTTCATTTGATACCAGGAGCATGAAATGACACTCTAGCCCTCTCCGTGGCTCACCTTGGTGGGAGAGGTGACCTTGTCCACAGACTGCTTCTCCCAGAGGTTCCTCTTACCGGATACATCGCCTGGCCTCAAGTCCTAGTGCAAGGAAAGCAGACAGGAGAGTGTTTATACCTCCTGGCCAGGTACCAAGAGAGCTCCCAGTCTAGCTATTTGTTTGAATTCATTTATTGTCTAATACCTTCCCAGCCTTATGATATGGGCCAATGGAATTGGAAGAACCACTAGTCTTATTGATTTATTTATTTTTCCTTAAAATATATACGATAGGCCAATGTCTACATATATCTAGCTCTTGGCTTTCCTCACAATATGAGCCTGGGCTAGGAGACATTGCGTATACGTCCTTGATCTTCACCAGAAGCTTACAGCTTTACTTAGCAGGAAGAGTGATTATAAGCATATTTGAAATGATATAGCCCATTCACCTTCCACACTCTTGGAAGAAAAGCATTTGCATTTTAGAGCAGAGGCACACTGTGTTCTGTGTCACTCTGACTGCACTTTGCAGATGCCACGTTCTTTACAAAATAAAGGTTGGGACCACACTTCTTTGAGCAAGTCCATCGGTGCCATTCTTTAAGAGCAGCTGCTCTCTTCCTCTCTGTGTTGTGCTTGGCAATCCTCACAATGGTTCAAACACTTTTTGTCATTCTGTTACATACTTATGAGACCACGGTTTGGGTGTAACCATAACTTTTTTGTGCTCTAGGAAACCAAGACTTTTCCTGTGACTCGTGTTACAGTGTCATTTTACTGCACTGGTCTGAGATAGAACGTGCCACATCCCCGAGGTGGGTCTATAGTCTGGTGGTCATTTGAGAGGCATTTCTCCTCTTGCAGACTTCCCTTCTGGCTTCCCTTCCTGTGGGGCACCCAGGCCGGCTGCCTATCCTCACTGTCTTTGAAGGCTATCGTTGGCCATGGATGCCCACTTTGCCTGAAGAGGCAGCTGGAAGTTTGGAACTGACACACCAACGAGCTGCCCTCAAGCACTTCGTGATGAGAGCTGGTGCAACAACATTTCTCAGGCTCTCTCAGGTAGGAAAGCTTCAAGGCGTGGAGTCTACGGTGGCTTCCAGAACTTTCTCCATAGGGTTATGTTCTAACAGCTCGTGTGGCAAGTAGCTTGGTGGTGCCTCCTTTTTAACGGCCTGTTTCCAACTCCTCTTATCCCTGATGTTTCTTTACCCAGGGGAAGATCACTCAACAAGCAGGGTAAACACAGCTTACTAGTCGTCACCCACTCCTTTTTGACAAAAATCAATCAATCACTCAATCAATCAATCAATCTCAAATGCATTCATCGCATCCACAATTCTGCTTATGGTTGTGGCTGGCACCTATCTCGCCCCCGGCTACAACACCTTGCTACAGAATCAAAGGTCTTTTCAAGTGGACAATCCTTGAGACGGTCAGAGTACGCGGTAAGTCAGCTGAGGATGGACGTACTTGTGTGTACTTACTAATCTTGTAGGGAACACTTTCACATGTTTTCAAGGTGTGGGGGGAAACAAATCCATGTGAAATTGTTCACTATCGATCAGAAAGTCACCAAACCACAGCCAAATTCCCTACCTTCAGGCCAATTCCAGCCCAAAGTGAGTCCCTCCATTGGTTTCCACGATGGCGAATCTTTCTGGGAGGAGACTTTCCACGGAGCGATGGTGGATGCAGACTGCTGACTTTCGAGGTGGCAGTCCAACAATAAGTAAACACAAGTAACCCTGTGATTATCCCACTTAATGGTTAACTCACCCCCACCACACTGCATTCTTTGCCTCAGTGGCTGCCTTGGGCAAAGCAAGCCAGGCCACTTTCCCGATTGTGCACTTGCACAGCTAAAATCATCCTGTGGATTCCGCGGGGCTCATGGGTGATTCAGAAGTAGAGCTCAGCACCCCAGAGAAAGCATCCATCACAGACGGGATACATAAAAGCTGCTGGCAGTTGATGACATGCAGGAGAACATGTGGAAGTCCTGGGCAGAAAAGCTCCTGGGCAGTATGATCGCTCCCGGTTATATATAGCGGTGAAGCCTTTATTAACAAGCCCCTAATTAATTAGACTTGGAGAAGGACCCACAGTTCTGTTTCCATTTATTTTCCTTCTAGCATTTGCTTCTATTAGTGCTTGGCAAAAGGTAGTTTGTAGAAAATAAATGTGTTTCACTGAAATTGTAATGCTTATTTTGGCAAATCCTTTTCTCATTAGGAAGGCAAAGCTAATAGTTCCATTTATACACGGATGCCAGTTTTGATAGGCATATTTGATGAGTAAAACACAGAAGATATACTGAGTAGTATCAGAAAACATTTGAGGTTGCCATAATCTTTCTGAGTTTCTAGATTTTTCTGAGGCATGAATTCCTACTATTCTACTGGAGAGCTTCACCTATTTAACTTGGAACATCAGGCAACAAATCAGTTTGTTGTTGAATTCCAACCCATTTGCCAATGTAGCTAAAAGCTGCCAAATTGTTTGGAAGACTATTTGCAAATCTTGGACACAGTAATTGAGAACACATTGATGTAGGCTCTGCATAGAGGCTATTATCACTTTATTTGTTTGATTCCTGTAAGACAAATATTTGTCTATCCATAAATGTTCTTTATCTACCTAAGAAAGTGGATTCTGTTTCCCTTTCAATCCTGCCTGTGAATCATCTGAGGCCACTTAAAGAGCACAAAGAGTCTGTTCTAAGACAACATTACCATTCAAGTTCTAAGTTGGCATTTTAACATGAAAAGAGCAAATAGAAATGAAATTACCTGACCAGACTACATTTTAGAGAAAGACCCACTCCGGAAGAAGGAGGAGAAATGAAGGCAGGAGAAGCAGGTTTCCAATCAACCAGAGACCAAAGAGTGAGGAAAAGCCAGCTGAGAGAGACTTTGCTGGTGGGTTTTGTTTTAAACAAAAAGAAAGACAAATTAGCTTTGTAATTGCTATGCAACATGCAGTGCAGATACAAAGAATCAGACAAGCTTGCTGAAACAGACATACTGTGAATGGAAAGCCAGTTATAAGTTACCCGGGCATCCTGTAAGTTCCTCCCACAAAAGCCAGTAGATATTCTAGTACATAATCAGGCGTACGTCAACATTTAATTTTTATACACACTCATTAGCAAGCCTCACAATTTCTACTGGTCTCATGAACTACTTTGGATACTTTAAATTCTTAGCATTTACAGAGAGTTTTACGTGACTGCTAGGAGAGGTTAGCTTGATTTCTTTCCTGAACTTTAAAACTCAATATATTACCCCTCTGTGTTTTTCTTTTGCTTCTTGAGTTTCACCATTCTGGCGAAAGAACTAGGCCTCTGAATTGGCGGAGTGGGAGTTAAATCGTGATTTTGTGCAGTAGGTGTCTGTCTGAGTCTGGCCGAGTGCCATTCTCCGTGACATTCTATTATAATTTCAGGGGCTGCTCTGGACTGTTCTAAGTCTGAACATCAGCGCGCTCGTCACGAAGCTGTGACAGCAGAGAACAGAGAGCTGTTGTCTCTGAGCCGACAGGCTGCTCCCCTTGCTCCCGGGAACTGAGCGAACTGGGGAGTCCCGGGAAACGCAGGGCTACTCACCGACGGTTTGGGGGCAGGAGACTTGTTCCCATCCGGGGTTTTGGTTAACCATTCATTGATGCGGCTGGAGACCCCCACCTTCAGGCCGGCCGTTTCCTGCAAAGACCCAAGCATCCGAAAACAGTCAAGAAAAAGTAAATGTGACCTAGAGAGAAACCTACAAAGCCGCTTCAAAATACCACCCAGGGTGACTTGATATGGTCATCACATGACTCCAGCCTCTTGGCCGAAAACGTGCTGGAGGCTCAGCTATGAGATGGTTCCAACTTGACAGCACACAACAACAAGGACAACAACCCAGCCCATTGGCATCGAGTCGGAACTGACTCTGCCTGACTCGGTTGGGTTTCTGAGGTTGTAAATCACTCAGAAGGTGACTGCCTAGCTTTCTCCTAAGGAGGCCCTACTGGGTTCAAACTCCTTCTGTGTTAGCGCTGCTCCCTGGGACGGGGCCACCAGAGCATGTTACTCTAGTTTGAACACACTGTTTTTATGATTTGTAGTAAAAGAACTTTAAACTTGATGTTCAAAGACCATGCAGCTGGTTTACCTTCCCTGCGTCCTGTCCACCCCAACCTCAAACCTTGACCAGTAAATTTAGGTGCTTTATTTAAAGATCCGCAGCAAAGAATGGTCCTGCCTTACACGCATTCTTGCAGAAGTTGATTTTATAGTCTTTGCAAAAGAAAGAACTGCACTTTTCTCACTCCTATTATTATTATTATTATTATTAACTAGGAGTTGCACTGACAACCCAAAGGCAGGCAGTTCGAATCCACCAGCTGTTCTGCGGGGGAAGGATGGGCAATTTCTTCTCGTGCATTTTGTTGTCTCTGTAAACTTGCTGGAGAGTTGGTTCAGTTTGGTGGCACACAACGACAAAAACAAAAAATATGAGTCCTAAAAGAAAATGAAAAGAAACTCCAAATAGTCCGCCCTCCCAATTGGAACAGAGAGCAGCTCCACACTGACCTTGGTTGGGGTCCCTGACCACACACTGACCTTGTTCGGGGTCCCTGATGCAGCAGGGGAGGAGAAGACATTCCCCTTCTCCCACATGCTCTTGATGTTACGCACGCCCTCAGCAGGCACCGGGAGGTCCGAGGCGGCTGGCTTCACAGGCCTGGCCGACTTTGTTCCCTGCAATGGATGAGTTATTATCAGGGAAGGGTGCGGATGGGCTTCTTCTGGTAAAATTACAGTCAACTTGTCTTGTCTAACATAATCATTTATAAAATATGCCTTGAAAACTACTGCAATGAAGTGGTAAACTATCATTTACTGAGAAACTTGCCTATAATTTGTCTTCATTACTGTCTAACTCTTCATTTTATATGAAGAACGGGGCACCAGGTTGGAGGAAGACTCATCAATAACCTGCGATATGTAGACGACACAACTCTGCTTGCTAAAAAGTAAAGAGAACTGGGAGCATAAGGAGGTAAGTGGCGATGGGCTTCATTCAGGATGGGTCACACAACACAAGAAAACAAAAAATCCTCACAATTTGACCAGCAGGCCGCATTATGATAAACGGAGAAAAGATTGAACTGTCGAGGATGTCATTTTACTGGGATCTACAATCCACTCTCATGGACACAGCAGTAAAGGAGTCAAATGGCACATTGTGTTGGGCAAATATAATGGGCTAAAAAGACTTCTTCAAAGTACTAAAGAGCAATGATATCAGTTTAAAGACTGAGGTACTCCTGACCTAAGCCATGGTATTTTCAATTGCTCAATACGGATATAAACGTTTGATAATGACTAAGAAAGACAGAAGACAGATTGCTGCCTTTGAGTTGTGGCGCCGATGCAGAACAATGAACATATCATGAACTGTCTGGAGAAGGAACACAACAATCTTGGAAGAAGTTCAACCAGAGTGCTCTCCACAGGGGGGAGAATGGTGAGACTTCATTTCATAGACTTTGGGCATCTTTTTAAGGGATTTCTTGGGGAAGGACATCATTCAGAAGGTCAGCGAAGGAGAGGAAGACTCTCACGCAGAGACTGCTACTGTGGACTTAAGTCCAGCAGAGATTGTGAGGGTGGGGCAATCAGACAAGGTTTTGTTGTATTTTACATGGCGTTAAGATGAGCCTGAGCCTATCCAATGACACGCAACAAGAACAACTGTAAAACGATTTGAAAAAGAGTAATAAAGCATCAGTGATATTCTAAGACTCTTGTAGCCAGTGGGCTTGACAACAGTCAGACGGGTTTCTGTGTTGGCAGAGTTCATTTCTCGTGGACAGACTGTGACCTTGGATGGCACCCACCTCAATTGCACTGGTGTACTGCTCCAGGCGGCTGTCAATCTTGGAGACGACTGCAGCTTGATGAGTTGATTTGACGCCACTGCAGAACACACATAACACTATGAGAGTCTCTCCAAATCAAATACTCTGTACTTGACCCACAATACAACCACCAACCCGATTACCTTTTCTGCACAGATTTGTTCAAAAATTCTGCTCGCTCTTCTATCTAAGGAATTGAAAGGGGAAAAAAAATATTAAGTGGGTTAATATTTTCTTTCATGTACAGAGCTTCTCAGTCCAAGTCATGATCTTCCTCAAGCCTTGTGAATTGAAAGGTTAATGGATATATAAGGAAGGGGTGATATTGGTGGCTTTGTTCTGCAAGAAAACTATACACAGAGTGGTGGATAGTGAAATTTGGGGAATGAAGGTAGGATTGGAAGAAGAAAAGTGTGTAAAGGAAAAAATCTGGAGGAAAATTCAAATGCAGGTGACTGCAATCAAAATGCCTTTCAAATTTAAAAAAAATGATTATATTTTAATGATTTTTTAAAAAAAATGCTTATGAAACTCTATGAACTTGGAGAAAAGATGAAAGTTTTGTGTTCAAGACTTTTGTTCATAGGGTCGCTATAGGTCGTCTATGACTCTATGGCACTTAACAACAACAACAACAAGAGTATAAACATAGCATATAATTTTATCAGCAAAGTTTCCCCATCCTGTTTGAACTCTCTATTTGGTTTGTACTGAGATTAAAGAACAATGACAGCTGTCAAGCTGTTGTGCATCAGAGAGGTTGAGATGTAAAGGGGGGGGAATGAGAGGTCTGCAGAGGTCCATGGATAAAACCAGTCAGATAAGTGCTGCCTGGGCAGTTCAGAAATCCTGGATGAGTTTTTGGGTGATTGTGTTGTGTTTTTTTTTTTCAGTTAGGAGCCTCTTCTTGCTCTGGCTAAATTTATATCCAACACTGTATTATTTTACTTAAATATCACTCAGATTCAGATCTTTTTAATAAGTCCATGAGTGTTGGTTGGCTCTCTGCTCTACCCGACATGATACGAGGAATACTGTCATCGGCACCTGTTTATATCACTAATACCCCAGCCCACTGCCCTTGTTCAGTTCCAACTCACAGAGAATCTCCATTGGCTTGCAGGCTGTAAGAAGCCTGTCTCTCTTTCTTCTGAGTGACTGGAGGATTTAGATTACTACCTTCCTGATTAGTAGCCCAACACCCGTGCATGACGTCATCAAAGCTCCTTATGATTGATACCAGCAAATGGTGAAAACATCTTTGCATCTGACGCACATGCTGAAGCACAGATGTGCTGGAAAGTTCTGCTGTCTGGGACAGTCACGGAATTCCCGAGTCTCGAGCCCCCTTACATTGGTATGGCTGAGTGTCCACTGTCCTCTGTCCTTGAGATATTAGGGGCTTTTTCCGGCATGGGACTCACAGGTTAGAAACTGCTATTTCTGAAAAGCTGTTGCAAACTGAAAGGGGAAAGTTCGGTGGTTCAAACGTACTAGCTGCTTCCCAGGAAGAAGGTGTGGCAGTCGGCGTCTGTGACGATGTCAGCTTTAGGAATCGGACTGTGTCCCATCAGATTGCTCTTAGTTGGAATTAATTCTCTGCCAATATTTTTTTTTCCTGTCAATATTTTTTAAGGTCTCGGAGAAACTTGCTGTACCCACAACATCAGCTGATAACACGTTTATGGATGTCAGTGAGGGCATACCATTCTTTGTCAGGAACTCGTTACAGATAGAAAAGCAAAGGCTTATACAAACTCAAACGCATTAAGTTTACGGAATGTGAAGTCTATGAAGTAAATCTCTAATTTTAAAGGTTGTTGTTGTTGTTTACCATCGAGTCAGAACTGACCCAAAGCAGATCCTTTGGTGGGTTTTCAGAGTTAATTGCACAGGAGGAGACTGCCCATTCTTCTCTCGCAGAGCAGCTGGTGGCCTCGAACGACATGCCTTCATTATTGCAGTGCATCTTCTCGCCACTAATGATAAACTCTATTCATTGCACATGAAAAGTTAAAATGTCTGAGGAGATAAATTGGTTCTTTTGGAGACCAAGAGGTGGCAGTGTTGTTCCAGTGACACTGAGGAAGACAAGCAAACTCTGCGCACAGCCCCAGAACGCTTCTGGGTGGGCCGACCGCGAGGTGGTGTCTCATGAACTGTGGACATCAGGAGGGACAGTCCTGCGTAAGGACAGTGTGCCTGGTGGAGTAGGGGGTCACGGGGATGGATTACTACAATGACTCCAGCCATGGACTCAACTTCGCCAGTGAGTGGGAGGATGGCTCCGGACTGGACAGGACTTGGTTCTGTTGTCTCTGAACCAGACAGGGAACTCTGGTGGCCGAGAGGGTAAGGAGCTGTGCGGCCAACCCAAAGGCAGGTGGTTTGAACCCCTCAGCTATTCTGATGGAGAAAGACAGGCAGCCTCCTCCTGTACGGTTTAACGCCCCAGCAAATCCCCTGGAGGGTCAGCAAGGACTTGGTTCCAACTCAGTGTCTATGAGAATGAGTGAGTGATGAGTGGGGCGGCCCAGGGCATCAAACAACAACAGTATTAGAAAATGGCAAAGAGCACTTAACTATTAAATCAGCACTTAACTAAAAACTCAAACTCATCGCCATTAGGTTGGAACTGACTCCCAGCTGACCCTCCAGTGGGTTTCAGGAGTCTATAAATTGCATGGGAGAAGGTGCTTATCTGCTGACAGAAAAAACTGGTGGTTCAAACCCATCAAGGAGGTGCCTCAGAGGACAGGCTTGGTGGTCTGCTTCCAAAAGTTCACAACTTGAAAATTCTGAGGAGCAGTGCCACCCTACAAATCTCACAGGGACCCTGAATCTGAATGGACTCATTGGCGACTATCAACCACCCACCTCTTCCTTCACTGTGTTCTACTTAGACAGATTCACTCAGAGTCAGATGCGTCGAATCTTCAGGACTCACAGAGCATATCTGTGTTTGTAATACTCAACTCTGGGCTAGAATGTCCAGGGTGTTATAAGGGTCATTAACATTAACATCAGCTAGTAGAAAGATCTTTGTGTATGGTGTGGAAAACAGTAATAAAAATATTAACATGAACTTCTTTAAAATGTATTCTCCCCATGTCATTCACTGCCAACCTTTAATGATGAGAAACCAGGGTTTCCCAAAGAAGGAAGAGAAAGAATTAGGAGAAGTTAACAGTGTGTCCTGGTTTATGATCCTCTGAGGTCAAACATCAAATCCTTTCCCTCCCATTCTGGGATGTGCACTTGGGGCCATTTATGAAGGTCACCAAGCCTGGAACAGCAACAGCTATTGGGATGCTGGTATCAGTATAGACTGGAGTTCTCACGCCTCAGCCCAATGGGGTCTTCCAAGCACATGCCGTAAGAAAGCAAGAGACTTTTTCCTGAATGCAAACCTCTATTATTATATATTAAAGCACAAAATTAAAAATCATAGCTAGTGAACTGATTCTGATTTATGTGGATCCTCTAAGACAGAGTGGAACTGCCCCGAAGGATTCCCAAGGCTGTAAATATTTATGCAGCTTGTTGATGTCTACTGTTGAGTTAATGACCCTCCAGTGGGAGGAGATGGCCCATCCTTTTCCTGTGTAGCAGCTGGATTCGAACTATGTACCTTTGGGTTGGCAGTGAAACCCAGCAAACTTCTTTGCCACCTGTTGTACTACAACTCTGACGTCTCTAACAAGACTGAAACCCCTTCAATGTTTTTCCATCTTTAGATACTCTTTCTCTAAGCCTTCGTATATCCTTGGGCATTCCTTTTCCAACATTAAAATTACTCTAGTTTTTTATTTACATTCACCTTCTTCTACACATATTCAAGTTACTGCTATAAATATTCAAATGCATGGCCTCTTCTTCCTGATTGGATAACATTCCTAGAAGAATTGTTTATAAGAGTCCAGAATGAAGATTCATGGTGAAGTGTACTTGTTGGGGGAGGGGGAGGATGGAGACCGTACATCAGTGAAAGAATTTTCCTTTCACTTTTCAAAGAGAAGAGTAAACTGGAGGAGAGGCATGGAAAGGGAGAAAAATGCAACAATGAATGAAAGGAAATCCAAAGCCTCTGTAAATGTTCATTAAAATTAATTAAAAAAGAAAGAGTTGCTTTTTTAAATGGATAGATTTGCCTTCTTTCTAGATGTTAAATGTTCCCATTCTCAGTTGCTCCAAGCAACACGGCCCTGGTAAGAGCATGGGCCAGTGTAACCTGGAGACGCGCCTCTCCAGCGCTGTTGAATACACACCGAGGCATCTAATAGTAACAGCTCCAGCTTCCCCATTTCCTTCTCCCTCCCGCCCACTGGCTGCAAGCAGAAAGAAGCTGTGAAACGACTGAGACGAAGAGGAATAAAGAAAGGACACAAAGCCTTGGATGATCAATATCACACGCAGATGCAGAGTAAGTCTTCCGTATCATAAGGCTTTCTGGGGAAAATACCTTGAGAGATGAACCTTTGGGAGTGAAACACTTGAATGGTTTCTTGTCATCGGATAAGCCGTCTTCTGGCATCTTCTGGCGTTTCTCAGCAGCCTCTGCTCGCCGCCTTTCAATCTCTTCCTTTAGCCTCCTCTTCTCTTCCTGGGGGAGAAAGGACAGATAAAGGACTTCGGTGTTGCCTCAAGCCCAAAAGAAAGACAACACAGGAGGGGATGGAGCGCTGGGTGGATCCCAGGTCAGGTGGCCTCCCTCCCTGGAGGTCTCCAGAGGTGGCCTCTGGGCTCAGGCGTCTGCTCCCTGGTTCTGCATTTTTGTGTTGCCTCCTTTCAACGGTGTCACCTCAGCTGGCACATGGCACTTGTCTGCTCGCTGCCTCTATTTCTTCTTCTGTAAAACTAAAAAACTCATTGCTGTCGAGCGGGAAGTGACTCGCAGCTGACCCACCAGTGGGCTTTCAGAGGCTGTAAATCGTGTGGGAGGAGACTGACCATCTTTTGTAAAGTGGGGATAAAACCAAAACCCGGCCAGTTGCCGCTAGTTGATTCTGACTCAGGCCAACCCTGTGAGTAGGAGAGGGCTGTGCGCAGGCTTCAGTGGCTCAGTGTTCCTAATGGGATTGCCAGGCCTTTCTTGCGAGGTGCCTCTAGGTTGACCTGAATGTCTAACTTCTTGGTTAGAGGTTGAGTGCATTCTACATCACCTAGAGATTTGGAGGATCATCAGAAACCAAAAACTCCATTGTTGTGGAGCTGTTTCTGACTCACAGCCCTACATGATGGAGGAGAACTGCCCTGTAGGTTCCCAAGGTTCTAACCTTTCTGGGATGGAAGCAGATTGACACACGTTTCTTCTACAGAGCGGACAATGAGTTTGAACTACCAACCTTTTAATTAGTTAGTAGCTGAGTGCTTGTCACTGTGCCCCTGGGGCTATGCCCTTAGTAGGGCTTCAGGGAAGATGAAATAAGACAGCACACGCAGGATGCTTAGATGAGCACTCAGTAGGATGTCATCATCATTACTGTTACATGTCAAGTCATGATGACCTTCCACCCTTCCCTTGAGTATGTGCACCTACCCACTTCCTAGGAGGGCTCAGAAGGCAAAGCGGGTGAGAAGTCACATACATCGATGGTGCTGCTTTTGCCAGATCGTACACGAGAGACTTAAATTGTTGCCCATCTACCACTACACTGCCTTGTGTGACTAGAACGAGGCCGGGTAGTGCAGTGGTTAAGCTAAGCAAAAGGCAGACTTTCAAACCCACCAGTCACTCCATGCGAGAAGGATATGGCCGTCGCTTCTGGAAAGATTCGGAAGACCTTAGCGTGGACACCCTGTGGGGCGGTTCTCGCCTGTGCTACAGGACTGCAATGAGGCCAGGTGACTCGGTGGGCTGTCTCCTGAGAGCTTGCACGGAGGGGCACCTTCTCTGTGTAGTTTCTGCAGCCTCCCAGCTGTCTGAGCCCTGACCAGATGTTCTCAAGCAGAAGTGGGCTGTCAGACCATCAGCAGATGGTGTGGAGGACGCTGTGTACTTAGGAGGCTAGAGTGCCAAGTGTCCTAGGTCTGAGCCAGGTACTAGAGGCCATGATTTCCTTCCTGCCACATGGATACCTTCTCCTTGACCGATAACAGTAACAGTCTCGGTGATAACATTAACGCTAACCACCATTCCATGAGAGCCTGGGGGTCCTCAGAGGCTGTAAACCTCATGGGAGAGATTATCCATCTTCCCCCCACTGAGCTACTGGTGGATTTGAACCACTGAGGGGCCCCACGTTTGCGTCAACTGTGCAATTCTTTACCAACTAGTTACTAGAGCCTCAGAATAAAAAAATCAGTGCTAACAGTAACAACAACTACTAGTCCTTGAGGGTCTGTTCTGTTCTGGGCACTATGTGTACAATTATCTCTGTCATGACTGAAACAATCTGGCAAAGTGGATACTATTTTATTTTTTAAAATTAAACACTATTTAATGAGGTTTTCTGCAAGAAACCTAGAACACCGATTTGTGAGGATAAACTCCCTTGGTGAGGGAGAATAAAGAACGCAGATAGCTTCTGAGCTGAGGGACGGCTCTGATTTTGGGTAAAATTTGTGAGTCCACAGCTTTCTGATCAACTTTGCGCTGCTGATAAAAAAACCCCAAAACAACAGAGATCCATGCACTTCCGTTAACTGCTGGCCTCTCCCAAGACCGGAAGCAGCTGGTAAGAGGCACAATGAGGATTCCACCCACTTTCACCCTGAAAGGAATTCCCACCAATGCCTCTCATTGGAGGGCAATGTTGGAAGGGACCTGAGCAGCATTTATTCTGAATTTCCACACCCTCAAGGATGGTAGCGGATGCATGCGATGAGAATTGTTGGTGATGTTAGGTGTCCCTGGGTGGGAGACCACTCACGGTGGCCCGATGGACAACAGCTGGAAGCTTGCCCTGGCTAGGAGGGTTTTAGAGCCATGGGCAGCACCCAGAGCAATGTCCTTCAACGTGACCCTGAAAGTACACGTTCCAAAAAGCGGCAGCCCGTCAGGAGGAAAGGCTACTCCGGGGCCGAGTGCTGCAGTCAGTGAGCACCACCAGCGTCTGAGAACCACCAGGGTCTGAGCACCAGCGTCTGAAGGGCTGCGCCGTCTCTTACCTCCTCGCGCACTTTGCGCTCCGCCTCCTCCTGCTTCTTCTTCTGCTCTTCCTCCTCCAGGACCTTCCTCCGCTCCTCCCTCTTCTTCTTCAGCTCCTCCAGCTCCTGGGCCGCCTCCTGCTGCTTCTGCTTGAGCTTCTCGAACTCCTCGCTCTCCGTCTCCCCGCGCCGACGCCGCAGCTCCTCCAGGCGCCTGCCCGCCTCCACCTGCGAGGCCGCCTCGGCCTCCTTGGCCTCTGCGCCCGGCCGGCCTCCGCTGCGGCTGTGGGGAGGGCACAGGGGTGAGGGGCACGCTCGCAGCCCCTGGGGGGGATGCCCCAAAGGAATCACAGAGGGGGCCTGGCCACCCTCCAGGTTCCCAGGCACCATCATGGACACCTAATGAGATGCTGTGCTCTGCACAGGCCCAGCCAGGTATGGGGGGCTGGGACCCCAGGCTGGGCCAGAGGTGCTGGTCTGCCTATCCCCTGGGGTTTTCCGGCCCTGAATGGAGCAAAGACGACTTATTCTGAGAAACACAGAAACCTCTTTTTGGGGACAGGCCCATGAGACTATATACTGTTTAACTGTGCAGTTATATGTTGTTGCTGTTGATTGCCTTCAAGTCGAGCATGACTCATAGTGACCCTATGACTAAAAGGCCTGAAGCCTCTCTACGACTATCAACATGTATCAAAGTTCATCGGGTTTCTGGAGGCGTGTTATTTAGGAAGTGGACCACACCTCCAAATATTATCAGCAAAAAAAGAAATTATGTAGTCCAGAAATGACAGAATCACTCCTGAAATTCAGACAGAAATGCTAATAACATGTTCTTGTATACCATCGAGTCAGAACCGATCCTCTGATGGGCTTCCAGAGGTAGTTAATAGAATGGGAGGAAACTGCACTTTCTTTTTTTTTTTTTAATTTTTTTTTTTTTTTTTCTATAATTATATTTTATTAATTTTCATAAACATTTACAGAGATTTTGGGCTTCCACTCATTCATTGTTGCACTATTCTCTCTACCCTCCTCCCAGTTTGTTCTTGTCCAAATGCCACAGTGCTTGTCAAAGCCAGTTCTGATTAATCTTCTTTGTCAGTGTATCCTTTGCCATTCCCTATCACTCCTCCCTGAGAGAGACTTCACCCTGAGTCATAAGGAAAAGGGGACGGCGTATTCTCTTAGCTACTTCCTGCTGAAAAGGGACGCTGTGGGTTGAAACTGCACTTTCTTACCCCACAGAGCAGCGGGTGGGTTTGAACTGAGTGCTTTTGGGATTGCAGTGCACTCTCTCACCGCTAGGCCACCAGAACCAGCCTATGTAAACAGACACACTTGTCTCCTTCTCTGCTCCAGACTTGGTAAGGAATTTATTAGAGAACTGTGTTTTCTCTGTCCTGTCAGCATCAACTTCTAGTTGAAATAGAAGCTGGCATAAGGTCTATGCTTAAAAAAGGAAACTATTCATATGTTGGTAAGTTGCTCCCATTAGTTTTCCTGCCCAAAGATAGAAGAATGAAGACAAGAGTCAGAAAAAGACGGTGCTCCCTGTTGCCTTTGGTGACTCTTTCTCCTTTTGAAACACCCAGTTCTTTGGATTTCCAAGAAATTCCAAAACCCTTTGCCACTGAGTTAACCCTGATTCACTGCAACTGTATGGAAGAGAGTCAAACTGCCTGATGGGATTTCTGAGGCTATAAACCTACAGAAGAGGCCTGTTCCAACTTTCTCCTGCAAAGCAGTTGGTAGGCTTGAACTGCCAGCCTTTTAGGTACCAGCCACCTTCTTAACCACTTCACCACCAGGGTTCTTCCCAACACATTACTAGCAGGGTCACTCAGAGTGGACAGTCTTCAGAAGAGTGTCCACACTATGGCAGACTAGGCAGCAGGACTGACCATCTGCTTCTGAAATCACTGGCCAGGGAAGCCTTCTGAACAGCAGCAGAATATTGTCGGATCTAGTGCTGTCAGGTGGGCCTCTCAGGTTGGAAGGCACTCAGCACAGTGCAGGATTAGTACAAGAGAAAAGACCACCTCCAGAAGATGGATTGACATGGTGACCCCAACAATGGCTTCCAGCCTAGTAGGTTATGAGGATTACCCAAGAGCTGGCAAGGTTCTGTTGAACACAGGGTTACTGAGAGTTAGCCCTGACTCAGAGACACCTAACAACAACAAAAAGTATACAGCTACGAGGAGTGAGGGAACAATACAGGAGAAGGTCTGTTAGGCTGCTGGATCCTTGAGAGAATGAATCTATGACAGTCAAGCCATTCATGATGCTTTCCAGTAAACTGATGTGACATGAACATATTAGGTTAGTGAATTAAAGCATGGATGCCAAGCCCTGATCCGCCTTCCTCAGTAACTGGAAGAGCAGATAATCCCTGTCTGTGCAAGCGGTGGAAAGCCTGACCTGCTGAGTGAGGATCTCTGAGACAATGGCCAGTGACTTCACAACACAAATATGTTGACTGGTCAGAATGCTCCCAGCTGGAGGCACAGGATATAGACGCTGATAGACCTTCCCCCCTGCACCCCTCACCACATACATTTGAAGACAGACACTGTCAACCAGTCACTCGCTCTTACCTGAATGTGTTCTCTGTGTGCTTAAGTTTGTGGGTCATGAATTCTCCATTCTGTGTCTTGACTTCTGTGAATCCCTTCTTCCGATCCAAGATGCCCTTCACTTCTTCTTTGGCTTCTCTGTCCTTTTTAATCTTCTCATCATTGACCTAACGAACAGTACACATCAGGAAGAAACGCATGGATACAGATCTTAGTTAAGGTTTAGGTTGGTATCACCAAAGACCTTGTGACTGTGGGGAAGCCAGAAAACCCACAAGCATAAAGAACCTCCAGAACAATGTCATGAGTCAAGGTGGGAGGAAATTCTTATAGCGTGAGCTGTGGCCCTTCAGCGTCTGAGCAAAACCTTGGCCACGATTTTAGGAAGCCAAGATCATTGCTGACCTCACTGGGGTCTGTCTGCAGGAGCAGTGGGTGGAGGTGTTATTGTTTAAGAATTGTGATGCTCTGAGGACTTCACAGAAGAGCAGCTGTTTGTAGTTTCCCACTGGGAAAGTATCAGCATGACTGTCATGGAAGAATGGTCCATTGTTTGGACACTTTCTTCTTTGATGGTGGGTGTATCTCTGAGAGAGAAGCAATGTGTTGAACAGGAAAGAAGAGGAAGTCAAGTTGGCCAAATCTGCCTAACCAATTCTGGCATACATCAGAGGAAGAACACACTTGTACTTTAAGCCAATGAGTAATGAAGGTCCCAAGAACGGAAGCCTCCATAAGCCTGTACTGGTGATGGGGACATGTGTGTAATCATCATCATCATTGAAGTTTCAGTAGTGAAGACCTCAAGGTTCTCCTTGACTCCATCGCCACTGAAAGTGGTTTGGGGATCCTGCGGTTATTGTCATGGTCACTGTGGGGAGGCAGAGGAGGATGGAACTAGGAGGGCAGGTGGTACTGTTGATATTTTAGGGGTTTTTCACTACCAGTCCCTTAGTGTAATTGCAAAATAAGATTTCAAAATAAATGAAATTTACATACTTTTTTTTTTATGGGAGAGACAAAAGAGTTTGAACTATTTTGCCTGTATCACCTCACTCATCCTTAACAATGAGTGTGGATTTCACCTGTCCTTTCTCAAGACAAATATTACCAAGCACAGATGTTCTAAATGCCAAAGGCACAGGATTTGTGGTCACCAGCTGCTCCATAGAAGGACGGGCAATCTCCTCTCGTGTAATTCCTGTCTCTGAAAAACCCACCAGGGGGTCAGCTGTGGGTCGGTTCTGACTCTACAGCACACACCACCACCAACAAAATGAACTAGCAGCTTTTCTGTCTTACTTGAATCTTTTTAAAAGAAAATTATAACCACCTTCTATTGAATGTGGAGGGGAGCTCCGATGGCCTAGTGGGTACAGTATTGTACTGCCCACCCAAAGGTAGGTGGTTTGAATCCACCAGGTGCTCTGAGGGAAAAAGATGAGCAATCTCTTCCAACGTGGAGTTACAGCCTCCGAAAAACACTGGAAGCACAGCTATTAGTCAGTTGTGATTCGATGGAATAATAGTGAATATAGTTAATTAATTTTTTTCAAATATGGATGTTTTCTGTGTAAAATTTTTAGTGTTCTTAATATACGTCACCATAGCCAGAAAAACAGAGCAAGAATTCAATGGCTAGAATTTACTAGTCATATGGGCAAGGACGGTGAAACTTTATCTCACATACTTTGGACATGTTGTTAGGAAGGGCCATTTCTTGGAAAGGTGGAGGGTCAGAGAAAGAGGGGAAGACCCTCAATGAAATGGACTGACACAGTGACTATAGCAGTGGGGTCAGTCAGAGATGATGAGGATGGCACAGGAGAGGGCAGGGTTGTTATAAGGTTGCTCTGATTTGTATTTGATACCACAGAAGCAGCAACAACAACAATTGGACAGAATAACACTGAAGTACTTTGGACTTCTTAGATTAGGGACAATGTTTAGGCATTCCTTGGGGCTAAAAGAAGGACACTAGTTTAAAAGGTGGCAGGCTTTCTGATGGGGCGTCTCGATGGTGTTGGAGTGTCACGTCAATCTTTCCCAGTATTAACGTTTGTGGTCCGCCACTGCCCTTACTTACCAGTCAGTCAAACACCCTGGCACCAGCTCCTGTGTGTGCCTCAGAAATGCAATGCAGAACCTTGTGCCAAACTTTTCTTTTGAAAATCAAATATCCTTTTCAGTTCATCAATTTTTCTACTGAGATGTAGGGTTTTTCTTTTCCCTTTGAAAAGTTAAATTGTTAGTCAAAGCCAGTTGGGAATATTTTGTGGATGAAATGAAAGGATGTAACAAGGAAACACACAGCAGCACACGGAGGAGGGGAAGCCGAGAAGCATCGCTTAGAGCAGTGTTTTCCAAACGTCTTTGACTGAGACCGACTGCAAGAAGGCCAACTGATGTCCCAAAGCAAGGCTTACGACCTACAGTGCCCTTTGACATTCTCTCATCTATTTCACTCTCAAAAAAGGCTGGCTGGCACCTCTGACTAATTTTGAGACCCTCTAAGTGGATGTCACTGTTCAGTGAATCATGAGTCACAGTTTGGAGAACACTGGTTTGGAGGTTACGACTTTGAGATCATCAGACCTGACGTATCAAGGAACGCTGCTCTCTGATAATTTCACAGTAATAGTTACCTCTTCTTTTTTGAAGGTAGGTTTGTCTTCTTGGGACTTTTCTCTGTTAACTTGCACTTTAATCCCTTTTTCTTCTCCCTTTTCAAAATGGTCAGGTCACTCATTTAAAAGAAGCCCTTTCTTTCTTATAAAAGTGAGAGGGGGTTCAGATCACCATGCATGTGCCAGGGGTGACCCCTCACTTGTCAGTGCTCATACTTCCTTCTGGTGCCAACGGTTCTACCCAGCGAGAGGGCATGCTCTCTTCCCAAAAACATGTTCCCCATGCACCCTGGTGTTCACGGAAGCCCATTGCGATGCGGTGTTCCCTATGGGTGGGGAGACTTCATATGTGGCTTGGTGCCCTCTGGCCATGGTGTTCTTAGTTACAAGTGTGTTCATGAACCCTTGTACAGAAGCAGAGGTGAGAGACAATTTCAGAGTCAAGCAGACTTAGTGAGAGAGAAAGAGAGAGAGAAAGAGAGAGAGAGAGAGGGAGAGAGAGGGAGAGAGAGAGAGAGAGAGAGAGAGAGAGAGGGAGATCTCTTCGCAAAGGTGGACTGCACAAATCTCTTTTCCTGTTTTTGGTGGTTAAGTGCTTTTAAGGTAGCCTTGCAGATAGAAGAAAAAAAAAATGACCAGCTTATATGTCCCTTATTATGTTCCACATTCTGTGGGCCACACAAACTTGGGTTACCCAGGTGACAAAAGAGGCGAAATGTATGATCTTATTTATCAGGCAATTATGAACCAATTCTACCCAAGAGGGGGAACTATCTGCAAGTCTCCTCTAAATCTAACATGACGACAAGCCAGTGTTTGCACATTTTTAAAAGAAGACCCAATTCCCTACCTCCACCTCTCCATTGCCTTTGCAATGAATTGACTTCCAGGAGTGCATTTTTGCCTCATTAAGATCGAATTTCTGATCATGATTTTTAATATCAGCTAAACTAACGTCAGTTAACGTTCCAACTTTTCTCCTTTTTCATTAAACGTCAAACACACAGATGAGGTGAGGGCCTTTTGTCTCATGTAGACTTAGGGACAGACGTAAGGTGTGAAAGAAGGTGCGTTCAGATGCAGGCAGAGAACGATACATCAACACAATAGCATGGCTTTGTGTGACCTTTGGGTTAATTAATTTTTTTTTGAGACTCATAGCAACCAAACCCTGAGCAATGACCCTGTCTCTTTGCCGTTTCATTTCTTATTTAGTCCATTAATTGACTGCTTCAAGCTTGCTTATTGCTATGGTCTGAAAAAAAAATGAAGAGATCGCCAAACGGTCAAGCATGTGGGGGTGTATGAATGTGGCCTCAACCCCGAATTCGCTGTGCATTCCATTTCTCACAAACGGCAGGCATCACACAGCGGGTGCACAGCGTTAACTGTACCTGTTTCTTTGGGACGGCTGGCTGAGCTTTGTCTTCTTGCGCCTTCTTCTCATTTACCCCTTTGCCTTCCACCTTTTTCTCTTGTGGTTCCTTTTTTTTCTCCTCTAGCTGCTTTTTAAGGTTTTTTTCCTGCTCTAGCCTGGCCCGCTCCTCCTCCTCGACCTGTGCCCTCCGCCTCTCCTCTGCTCTCTTCTCTTCTTCCCGCGTCCTTGCCCGCTCCTCTGCCTCCCTCTGTTCTCTCTCTCGGGCAGCTTTCTCTTCTGCCTCTAGCCTGGCTTTTTCCTCTGCTATCTTTCTGTCTTGCTCAGCCTTGAGTCTTTCTCTTTCTTCTGCCTCCAACCTTAGCCTTTCTGCTTCAGCCTTTTCTCTTTCTTCCTTTTCTATCTTTTCCTGAAGGGCAATCTCCTCTGAAGCTTGGTCCCTCCCCTCCTCGATTTCTGCATCGAGCTGCCCATTTTTCAGAGCTGTTACCACTGTTTCCTGTTGGGTATCTGTAACTTTATCCTCCACCATAACCTCTACCTGATTTTCTTCAGTGCTCCTTGGCTTCTCTTCTTCCTCGTCTTCCTTTCCCTTTTCTTCTTTCTTCTCTTCGGCGTCTCTCCAGTCGTTCTTCTGGAAGGACTTGGTGATGATCTCTGTTTCTTCTACGTCGTATCTTTCTTGGCGCCTCTCATTTTTCTCTTCGGTCTCGTTCTCTGCCGTGTTGTTTTCCACTCTGCTGCTTGGTAACGGTAACCCTGTATCTGCTATGGTCGGGTCAAACTCCTTCTGGCGCTCCAGAGCTTCCTGGAGGCGTTTCTGGCGTCTTTCCTCCCGACGAGCCAGGCGCTCCAGGAGGGCAGCTTCTTCATCATCCTCCCCTTGAGTGCTTGGGGTGCTCTTGGTCTCCTCGGCAGTCACGCTGTACAAGAGAAACAACATCAAAGACAGTTTGCTGATGAATTCGCCCAGATTCCTATATAACCTGTGCTACGTCACGGTTACAGTAGTTACTGATGGCACCATGCTCTTTTTCTCCTGGGCCATTTCAGGACATGCTGCCTGGCTTCCAATTGTTAGCTTCTAGCAATTTTTTGCCCTGGGTGTTTCTCCATCACTGGAGCCCATGCTACCCAACAGAAGTGCTGGAGCATAGAGGTTCCCTGGGAGTAACAACCTTCCCCAAGAATGAATGAAGGTTGGTGTAAAAATAGAATCCCTGAGTTTGCAAACAATTCAGGTACTCGGCTGCTAACTGAAAATCGGCAGTTTGAGTCTACTTGTAGGCACCTTGGAAGAAAAGTGTGGTGATGTACCTTAAAAATATCAACCATTGAAAACTCAACGGGCCACAGTTCTACTCTGACACACACAGAATTGTCATGAGTTGGAATTGTTCTGACAGTGACTGGTAATTAGTAGGAGTATAAATGTCTACGTTCTTTCACCTATTGGATTTGAAGACTCTGAGGTGCGTGTTCCACGTTGAATCGTAGAACTTCCTGGCAAAGGGTCAACTTCCAGATACCTAGAGGGGGAGCTTGTTCAGTGAAGTAAAGTTTATTTGGCTTTTTTCCCCCTCAACTGCTTCGTGTTTCCACGTTCCTAGCAGTGTTGTCTGGGATCACCTCACAAACTCCTTGGACTCAAGTCTTTGTTTAAGAATCAGCTCAAGCTAAGACAAAGAAAAATTGAGATAATGAGTAAATTCTTCTAAAACCATAAAACATTTTCATATGTCACCACGTCATCCAGAATCCCTGAGAAGGAGGGCTCAGGGTGCTTTGACTGGAGGGGAGTATGTTAGCCTAGCTTGGCACTTCCAATGATCAATGACACAGGCCAAAGGTCCCCGTGGTAGAGACTTGTCACCAACCACTGTAACTCATAACGCCCCTCTCTGATACGGGGAAGGAAGTAGCAGCCAATGATTGTAATGCCTGCAATACCTTCTCCTCCTTACACCTGGCGAGGTTCCTGTGATCAGTAATCACCAAAAAAATTATGTGCAGAAGGGTGTGTCCAGATCAAGACAACTAAGAAGTAGAGGGGCAATCCTTCTTTCTCCATATTTTGGTGACACCAGAGGGCTTGAATAATGTAGGAACTGACAGAATTACAGAAGAGGCAGATCACCAATTATATTAGGCTAAAAATACCCACATTTGATTGTTACGAGTGTATCTGCATTGTTGTTGTTAAGTGCCGTAGAGTCGTAGACAACCCATAGAGACCCTATGAATGAAAGTCTTGAACACAACTTTCATCTTTTCTCCAACTTCATAGAGTTTCTGGAGGCAAGCTTTTTTTTTTTTTTGGAAGTGGATGCCACTTCTGCTTCCAAGCCTGTTTTATTTGGAAGATTCACAAAACCCAAAAGCTTTTTAAAATGTATTAACGGCATCAAGCTCTTAAAACTTGGGGACTCACTGTTACATGATCCAGCATTATCCCAGTACATTGTTCAAAAGATTTCCATGAACAAAAGGTTTCTTGTTCTTCTTTTCCACAGTAGACAAAAGACAATTACATCTGATGGTTTTTTTAAGAAGCAAATCAAACCTCAAGAAAAACCATACCGTGTCGTGTCCATCAGCATACTGGCTGCTGGAGTGTGATGGGTACCCTCCGAGCCAGGGTGCTGGTCTCTACGGGCAGGAAGTAATCAGTCATGTGATACCAGCCACTGTGACTGGACTTGGAAGAACATGCCCTGCAATGTTTAGAAACTCCATCAAATGTCATGGTTCAGACCACACTTGGCCCTTTTGAAGTTCAAGTTCATTTGATGTTGGAAAAACATGTTTCATATTTAACAGCAAAAAAATGGCAGAGTCAAGGTTAGATTTTACATTTCCTTGGCCTTGGATGTTGCTGCAGGACACTGTCACCATGAGTTAGACATGGAAAGATTAAATTTCTGTGAGAACTACATGGACTTTAGATTTTAAGGGGGAAGGTCTAAATATAAAGTGTGTGGAGTACCCAGATTCATGGAATTAAAAATTCTCCTTCATTCTCATTGCTCTTGATTGTCCACCTTTCTTTCACGGAGCAGCTGGTGGACTTGAACTGCTGTTTGGTTAACAGCAAACTACCGATGGTCTAAAAGTTGAAGCCATGACCATCAAAAGTTTAAAAAGGTGCTCCAGATTCCAACATTCAAGTCAGATTAAGTTCATCTGAGTTGAGACACTAACAGATTTACATATGATTTCATAATTGGTGGAAGGTCAAATTGGGAAGTTAACTTTGAGATCATACTCTGACCCCTCTGCTACACATCTGCATTTACCAGGGACTACTTCCCAAGGGACTGGAGGCCCTGGCTGGTGCAAACCATCAATGCACTTGAAGTTAACGGAAAAGCTGGTATTTCTGAAAACTCAACCTATGGAGCAGGGGTCTATGGTTTGGACTACACTTGATGGTGACTGTTTTTGGCAAACAGAGGAAGGCTTTTATTCTCCCCCCGAACTGTGAGACTTCCTTCTTGACTTCATCATGCCTGCCACATTTTCAAGACTGCTTCTCAGAACCTGTCCGCTGTACACCATCAAATATGGGTCATGGAGTGCAGAGCCCTTTCCTTTCAGAACTTCTAAATAGACTGGATTAATTAGCCGGTCAACAGGCCCCTCCTGATACACACAGAATAAAACAAACAAAAATCCAAACCACACCAGGATTGAGACGACAGTTTCATTATATTGAATCAATCCATAGTTTAAATCCAAATGAAAAGATCTTTTGTTCTCTGTCTTCCCTCAGTCTTAAAAAAACCAAAATTAAGATCCACTGCCTTTGAATTGGAGCTGATTTACAGCAATTCTCCGTTGACTTTCTGGGGAGGTAAAGCTTTACCAGTGGAGATTGTTCATCCTTCTCTTGGGAGATTCTCTGTGGGTAGATTTGAACCACAGACCTTTTGGTTGGTAGTCTGATATGTTAAGCACTGCACCATGAGGGCTCTATACCTCAATCTCGACACATAAGATCAGTTTATACTAACTGTGTGACTTTGTTTCTGTTGCAAAAGCCTTTTCTCAAGAAACTGAACCCACTAAATGCTCTTGCCTTCTCCAATTCCATCAGGACCCAAAAGGGTGAAATATGCAGCATGGAATATATGATTATTGATAGTACCTTTGCCATGGACAATCACATCAAATGACATAATATTCTCCGCATTACTACTGCTGGGTGGCATAACTCACTTGAAGTTCATGGGGAATGTGGTACTTCTGAGCGAGCCACGGAACACAGGTCTCTTTCTGATACACTAACCATAGTGACATTCCATTGAGTTGGTAAGGCTCTAAGTTTTTAAAAGAAGAGACTGTCAATCTCCCTCCCGCATACCTGCAGGTGGATTTGAACTTCTGGACCCATAGAGACTTTTGAATAGTGGTGCTGACTTGCTATGGGATACAGCACAAGGGGTGGAAATTATTGATCAGAAATTATTGACTCAAGCTGTAGCAGAAAAAGGATGACATTTGAAATTTGTCAAGATTTACAGTCTTGGAGTGCTGTCCTAACTTGGAATAGACTCAAAGGCAAGGGCAATGGGTTTGTTTGATGTGGACACACAAATGTTACCTGTTCCTAGTAAATCTGGAAGACCAAGTTCAAGAAATAAGTCTTTAGTTTAAAACAGAGAACAATAGAGAATGAATCTAAGTCTCTCTAACCTTGCTGACCCTTGGAGTTGGCTCATCGCTGACCCTCTAGCAGGTTTTCAGGGGCAGTAAATCACATGGGACAAGACTGCCCATCTTCCTCCCTTGGGGCAGCTGGTGGATTTGAACCGCCTGCCTTGGGTTGGTTGACAGTGTAACTCCTTACCCACTAGGCCATCAGAACTCCCTGCCTGATCAGAAAACAGAACTTCTTTTGTCCATGAAAACTGATGCATACAAACTGGACCAAAACATCCAGCAACACCCGAGTCACCAGTCGGGAAGCAACAGGCAGCTGGAGGAGTCTACACAGTGCGAATCATCGTCACAAGGACTGTACCCATCAACTAGTGCACCGTGGACTAGCTGGCACTCGCTTTTTACTAAAGACCGAATGACCACAGTGGTGTGGACATCCCTCTGCACCTCAGAAACTGAGACATTCTGTTAATCAGCGGGGCAAGAGCATGACAGGTGCATGCTGAGTAGGCCGGCGGCCTTGGCAGAGAGACTGCAAAGTTCCTTAAGATATTGTGAACTTCCCTTGCTTGTTTCCTTGCGTGAAACAGACTTTTTTTTCCAAAATAGAAATAACCTCATAAATAACCAACCAACCAAGATCTAACTAGTTCTCTTGATGTAATGATATAATTAGTCATGTTTAGTAAATAAATAAAATACTAGATTTTCTTTAAGGGGGGTCTAGTGGCTTAGTGGTAAGGAATTGTGCACTCAACATAAAAAGTACGTGGTTCAAATCCACCAGCTGCTCCGTGGGACAAAGATGGGTAATCTCGTGTACGGCTCACGGCCTCTGAAAACCTGCTGGAGGGCCAGCTATGGGTAAGTTCAGACTTGATGGTACACAACAACAATAACAACAAGATGTTTTTTTCGGGGTTGGGATAGGATGGAAAGGAGTACTGGTTTACCAACGGCTGCATCAGATCAACTTTTATTCTGATTAAAAGCAACAACACCGTGCTCTGACGTAAGGCAACTCCACGCATGTCAGAGTAGTCCTGGCTACACAGGGCATTGAAGGCTGTGAACTTGCCGGAGCCCAGCACGAGACCTTTCTTCCAAAGTGCCCTTGTGTAGATTTGAACCACCAATGTTTCAGTTAAGAGCCACACATTTAACTGAGCCCACCACCCAGAGACTCCTTGCAATCTGCTTGTTCCTTAAAATGGCTAAAAATCAAACAGCTCAGATCCATTTAAAATGTTGGGGGTGGGGGGAAGTTTGAGTTGCGCTTGAAAAGGATGCTTTGCCCAACAAATCCCATCTAAAACAGAACAACTTAAAAGTCCGAGACAGTACCTGTTCTCTGAGACAGTACCTGTTCTGGGCGTTCACCTCCACCTGCTCGGTCACCTGTCCCAGGGATTCTTCCTCTTGCTTCTGCCGCAGCCTCTCCTGCCGGGCTCGGCGGCGCCTTTCTCGGGCAGCCTCTTCCTCATCATCGTCATTCCGCTGGTAGGCTATCCTGTAACACAACAAAGATACCCCCTACGTAAATCAAGGGTCTTCATTTCTTCCAGGCAGGGGGCAAATCTGAGGATTTAATGACAGGGTTCTAATACAAGGCTCATTTCTATAGACCAGATCAGACTCAATTTCAAATGTAAGTATTTGAAAAGTATTAGTCCAGTTGTTACAATGATAATCAACAATCATCAAGTAACTAAAAAGAAAAGGTCTACACAGGAGCAGATTGCCTTCGGGACAGTGGGAGAATGTATTTAGGTTGTTTTAATTAGAAGACTACTTGACTAATGTGACAGCAGGTCACATTTAGAAGCAGAAATCTAAAAGACTGAACCAAAAGTAATTAAAACAACATTAAAAATAGTAGTCATCTTTTCAGCCTGGAACCAAATTCCCCTCAAATGAGAGACTCACAAGGTAAACTGATAAAGTGAATATCACATGGCTGCCAAAAGTACAAAAAAGACGTTATTTTGGAGAAGATGCAGCCAGAGTGCTCCTTGGAGCAAAGATGACGAAACTTCATCTCACACACTGTGGGCGTGTTGTTATGAGAGGTTACTCTTTGAAGAAGGACATTATGCTTGGAAAGGTGGAGGGCTGGTGAAGGAGAGGAAGACCCGGAACCGCACGGGTTGACACAGTAACTGCAGCCACGGGTTCAAGTGTGTCAGAGATTGTGAGAACAGAGCAGGACAGGACAGGGTTCCGATACGTTGTTCATAGGATTGCTGAGTCATGCTCGACTTGACAGCGCCTAACAACAATAACATAAAATGAACAAAACCAAGATCATAGATATGTTTTCTTTCCTACTTGCTACCAAATAAAAATCAAAGGTACACAAATGCTACACAAATGCAAATGTCAATGAACACGATGGTTAACTTGCCTTCTATTGAAGGAGGAATGTATACTGAGATGCAGAGGCCAGGAGGGAGTGAAATGTTGGCTGGCCCAGGGGTGAGTCAGATGGGGGCCTGGCCAGAGGGGGACTGTTGGTGCAGAGGGCTGCATTTTACACCAGAAAGTCAAGAGTCCTTACTATAACATCACTTAGATATCTGCAAGGACAAACTCTAATATATAAATGCTTATCACTCTTCCATAACTCCAATGTAAAATAATTAAAAATCTATACAGAATAAAACATTCAAACTGTGCAATAACACTTAATAAAAAATAGTAGCTACCTTTTAAACCTGGAATCAAGTCACCTCAAATAAGAGAGAGACTCATAAGGTGAACTCATAAAGTGAATATCCCAATTTTATGAATCTAGTATGACTAGTGATGGTTTGCCCAGTCTAGATTACTCCTGTTAGATTTATAAATTAGGTAGTAATTTTCTGTTTGATTTGAGTGAAAGTCTACAGCTAATTAGTTTTCCATCTCATCATTCATACATATTTTGCTAATGTAATAAACAGCACTCTTCCCATTCTCTTCCTGTGATTCTTGTTTCCATTAGTCCTCCTAGCCGATCCTACTTTCTGAGCTTTATCTCCAGGCAAATGCTGTTTGCCCTTTTGATCGTATGGTGGCACTGAGGAGTGAGGCCCTCACTGGGATCTGGTTAACCGTATGGGTCTTTCTGTTTGGCTGAAAGTGGAGCCGCAGGAGTGAACTCTGTCTTAGGACTGAAGGAGGATGAAGAACCAGAGTGTCTCACAGAGGCTCCGTCATTCTCTACAGACCAGTGAGCCTGGACTTTACTCTTCTGAGTTCTGTTCTACATTTTCACCACCTTGTCCAGGACTTGCCACTGTGACTCCTTTTAGAGAGGTCAGTACTAATAGCTGGGCACCACTTCCTTTCTCTGGTCTCAGCATCAGAGAGACTGAGGCTCAAGAGTTCCATCTGGTCCCTGGACAAATGAAGACTCGGTAGTTTTAAGCTTCGATGTAGCACTTGCCTGCATCTCTTTCCATATTTTTACTTGAATGATATCAGAGGTAAAAATGCTTTCCACCAGCATAGTACATCATGAACAATATTAACAATTCCAAAGATTGGCTGGTTCTTTGCTACTTCAGAAAGTCAGACTTCAAAGGGGAACTCTGGTGGCCTAGTGGCAAGGAGCTGCGACTACAATCCCAGAGGCACACGGTTCGAATCCACCAGATGCTCTGCCAGGGAAGGAGGGACAATCTCCTCCTGTACCAGTCAGATCTGATTTGATGGTACACACACACAAAAATAATAATAAAATAAAAAAAAAGAAAGAAAGCAGAAAGTCAGACTTCAAAAGTATGACATCGGTGGTAAGCAATATTCCAAGCCAGTACAAATGGATTGTCCCTCCCTAGCTCTGCAAAGCTGATGGGTCTGTGTACACAAATATGGGGCGGAGGGCAGTGGGACGTAGAGAAAGAACGGCTAGATAAAAACCCCAGAGTCACTGAATCGAATCATGGTGACCCCACACACTGGATTAGAACTGTGCTTCATACAGTCTTCAATGGCTATGATTATTTGAAATATATTACCAAACTTAAGGGAGCTCTGGTGGCCTTGTGGCAAAAAGCTGCACTGCAATCTCAGAGGTATGCGGTTCAAATCCACCAGATGCTGTGCTGGAGGAGGGGCAATTTCCTCCTGTACCAGTCAGATCCGATTTGACGGTACACATTCAAAAAATAATAAAATAAAATGAATTTTTTAAAAAGAAATATATTACCAAACTTTGTCTCCAAGGTGCTGGGGGTGGACTTGAACCACCCATCTTCTGGTTAGGAACGGAGCATGTTAACCACTGACATCACTCAGAGACTCCATGATTAGATTAACTGAGAATCTCAAAAACAGCCCATAGTTGAGTCAACTCTCATTCAATGTGACCCTACAGGACAAACAGAACTGCCTCAGAGGGCCCCGAACCGTCGTCACGTGGAGTCGGCTTGCCATAGCCTTCTCCCACAGAATGGCGGGTGGGTTTGAACGCTTGACTTTTGGGTTAGTGTTTAACCAGTGTGTCATCAGGGGCTCGTTTAGGACACTATGTGGGCTGCAGTCAATATCAGGAAACAAAATATGCATGAATTGTTGAATGGAAAACAAATTTGCTCCTTAAACTTTCTCCCAAATCACAATAATAAAGAAGGAAAATCCGTTTTCTGGAACCGTGGCTTACTAGCCTGCAGCCCGTTTCCTTGCCTGCAAGCGTGCGATAACTGAAGGAGACTGCGGGACATTCTATTTTGTTATTTGGAGAGTTCAGCTGAGGAGCTGCCTGGTGACAAGACGAGGTCCATTTTAGACTTGCTGAGTGCCGGGTGACAGTGTGACAGGATTCGGATGGTCCTTTCTAATTCCATCTCATTCTCTGCTGTCAAAAGCCCTGCCCTGTGGTTTGGCGGCAGCCTTCAGATTCTTGGTCTAACTTTCCTTTGGCTTATTTCTCAGCAGACAGCTTTAACCACAGCATGGAGAACGAGTCCTTACGGACTGCTTCCCAAGCTAGTCAAACATAAAGTCTCGTTTGCTCTCCCAGCGCTCTGGAACATTCTTCTTCCGGGACAAGCATATGGTCCACAAGCTCCACAGAATCATGTCTATGATAGAAGAGCAAAGCTTACCTCCAGGCAGAATCCAACTTGATTTCCTACCACGCTGGAGAAGTTAGAGCTGTGACCCCCTTTCTCCTTCCACCAGCCCACTGCGCTTGCCGGCTGGGTGTGCCTTGCTCTGAGCTCTGACATGAGCCGGGTTTACCATCTAGGTGGTCTCATCTGACCATGACTGACATCAGTTTTTCGTCTGAGGAGTGGTCTGAACTCCCAGCATCTGCACAATCTTCTGTCGCTTCTCTCACTTGGTATAAATTCATGGACCTGTTCATCCACGCGCATGGGGAGCCCTGGCCTGGGGGCTATAGTTACTAGTGGCTGTTGAGTTGACTTTAACTCTGTGTCGGAGCAGAGCTCAGCTCCACTGGGATTCCAGGGGCCAGGCCTTTCTTTCCAGGGGCCCCTGGATAGGTTCAGACCTCCATATTTAAGTTAACCCTCCAGCATTGATTACCTCGTATCACCCAGGGGCCTCAGGACACAGCTGCCAGCACTGAACATCTAATCAGCAATTTTATTACCTTCATAAAACTGAAAACTTGGGCTCAGTGCTGCAGTCAGAATGGACTCCTAGCTGACCCTCCAGCAGGGTTTTGGAGGCTGTAAATAGCACGAGTGGACCGAAAGTGATGCTACCAAGCCAAAGGTGGGTGACTTTAATCCGTGACCCTCAGGCCTGTTTTTAATGAAACATTCTCCTAGGTCATGTAACCCTGGTATGTTCACTTGGTGTACAGAGGTAACTTGTGGTTGCTGTGAAGCTGAACACCGTGACACTGATGTGTCAAATATGATAATGGTTACCCATGGTGGACAGTGTTTGGTGGAGCTCCCCGATTAAAACAAGCTTGGAAGCAGGAGTGGCATCCACTTCTGTAATAGCTTAGCTCTGGAAACTCTATGAACTTGGTGAAAGGATGAAAGTCACACATGTGTTGAGGACTTTCATAGGGTCGCTGTGAGTTGCCTACAACTAGACAGCACTTAACAACAACAACAACAACAACAACAAGCACAGGAAGAGACTGCCTAAATTTTTTCTGGGGAGCCACAGGTAGATTTGAACCGGCAGAGACACTGCCGTTGGGATGGTAGCAAATCTCTTTGGACTTACAGAACTCCCACTAGAGGTCTTTGCTCACTTCACATGCTTTGGACATATTTTCAGGAAGGGCCAGTCCAGGAAGAAGGACATCCTGCTTGAAATAGAGAGTAACAGAAAAAGGGGGCGGGGGTTAGATCCTGCCTGAATGACTGACATCACGGCTGTCACACCGGGTGTAAGGGCAGCAGGGATGCAGGGCTGGTGCCGGAGAGGGCACGAGTTCATTCTGTTGTAGGGGGTTAACTATGGGTGCGAGCTGACGCAGCAGCTGAGCAGGAAGCAGGAAGAGCTGCCAGTGACTGCAAACTCTCTTCTTTTCTGCTG